ACTGTTAGGGGCAATGAGGCTTGCCCCTTTATCAAATAGCCCCAAAGAAGTAAACCCACCCGATTCCCCGACCCCAGGCTCTCCTTTGACCACGGCTCCGAACACTGCAATAACTGCCCCTTCACCAATGCCTACTAGTACAGTAGCCAACAATCAACCCTCAAGGAACATTTCCACTCTCCCAGCATGCCCAACTTCAACACCTCTACCCCCACAACCTCCAACATCAACCACCCCATCCTCCCTTATTAATACCGTACAGCCTTATAACCCACCTCTCCATAACACTACCTCCCTCAACACTACTCCATCTTCGTCACGCCCTCGCCCTTCTACCACCCCTATCTCTAAAACAATCTTGAATACTCTCTTCAATGCAGCCAAATGGGACCGATTTTTCGTGATCCCTCCCACAACTCCCTACTCTGACAACACCCTTCTCTTCCAACAATGCCTCCAAAAACAAGTAGGTAAAGTCTCTTTCCGTAGCCGACCCGACCGCTCCCGTCTTGTAACAGTAACATCCGAAAACCAAGCCATAGCATTAACAAAACTAACTGACCTATATGGTAACCCCATCCTAGCAGAACCCCATCCAACCCTCAATACTTGCACCGGAACAGTCTCAATCTCACCAGCAAATTGCCCAATCTATGACAAAGATTGGTCAGATTGTGGAGATCTACGTGCCTCTCTCACAGACTACGATGCAACATCAGTACAATGCTATTCTATCCCCCCCAGAGGTCATCGAAAGAAACCCACTAACATAGCCAAAATTACCTTCCGTAGACATGACCTTCCCTTTAACGTCTACATAGGAGGAGAATCCCTCCCTGTTCGTCCATACCAACCTCCTCCACGTCAGTGCCAAAATTGTTGGTGTCTAGGACACCCAGCCAAACACTGCCGTTCCACAGCCAGATGCCCATTATGTGCCCAACCTGGCCATACCCGATCTAACTGCTCTGCACAATCACGCACATGTGCCAACTGTGGCGGCCCCCATAATGTATTTTATAGGGGCTGTCCCACCTACAAATTTGAATCTGAGGTAGCAACTCTCAAATTCAAACTCGGACTCACACTGCGTGAAGCCAGACAGGAAGCACGTCGACGTGGATTCTCTCTTACTCCTTACTCCAGTAATACTGCTCATTCTAACACTTCTCCTAAACCCACCCCTCCTACATCTAACCCCCCCACTAACCCCACCTACCTTCCCCAGTCAAACTCTTTTGCCATCCTAAATCCAGAAACTCCAATCTCTACTACAGATACTCCAATCACCACTACAACCCCAACACCTTCCCCTCTCCCTCCTCGCACTCCCCGTAACAGACAGAACAAACGTTCCACCCCCTCTTCCCCTACCACACAATCACCCCCACCATCCTTTGCCCGTACTCTTGAGACACCAGTCCTCTCTTCCCCCCCTCACAAGAAATCCTTTATCCCCCAAAACTCCCCAACCAACTCCACAGAAGAAACTATTGAAAATATTCAAGATTACTTAATGAAAACCGACACTCAACCTACAACTCCTGCTCTTTCCACACTCCAAGTAATTGCTGATATCCATCCTCCTCCTAACGATATCCCCCCTACACCCTACCCTCCTCCCCCCTCCCAACACAGCCCATCCCCCCTGACCCCAACCCTGCCCTCATTAACTCTCCCACCATCCCCTCTATCCCTTCCACTCCCTCCTGGATACACACGTGAATCCCTTATGTCACAAGTATCCCCTTCCTCAGACCCTCCATCTCCTAATACCCCTCCTGATAGAACAACTCCCACACCTCTCCCATCTCAAACCTCTCAGTCCTTATCCCACCCTTTAGCTGCTTCCCCTTCAAATTCTCCAACACGTACTGCAATCTATATCACTAAATCAACGAAAGTATTACTATCCTTCATTGGAATATTCGCGGTTTCCGCTCCCACAGACCTGACCATCATATCCTTTCCTCTTATAACCCATCTATTGTATGCCTTCAAGAAACCTTTCTTATGCATACCCTTTATCTAATATAACACCCGACCTTAACCCTTTCACTCACTAATTCCTTTGCCCAGCTTAGACAACTAATCACTAACTCAACCACCCTTCACTAACATTAACTATAGTGCTACATGACCTTAGATGTCTAGCACATTTATCTTGCTTTTAACCATTAACCATTAACCATTACTAAAACTTCAACACCAGAAAGAAGAATAGAACGCGATGAAAATAATCCTTCATGGATAGAAATATTAAAAAGAATAATAAAACTGATATCAAGCACAGCATCAAACTTAAAATCAGAGAAATCCATAATCATAACTATATCCAAGACCATTACAGAAGTAATTCCAATCATAAAAGACATCATGGATTGTATATATGGATAGATTAATACTCTGGAATGCTAGATTCATTTTAAATAAAAAGACAGAAATTGACCTAATAATAGATTAGGAAAGTCCAAAAGTATTCGCAATCTGCGAAACTTGGTTAAAAAATGGCAATTTTAAGATAAACAACTATACAATAGAAAGGAAAGACAACAGAACAAAGGGGAGGAGGCCTTGCAAATTGTATACATAATAGTATACAATACAAGAAAATAAACCTCAATGAGAGGCAAAATAAAATAGAAAAAATAGCTATAAGAATTAGCTACAGGAATGAATGGCTAAATTTAATTTTAATTTACAATCCTTGCAACAAAATAGAACAAATAGAATTAGATCCTTACATAGAACAATTAGATAAGCCGAAATTAATAGGTGACCACCCGTCATGGAACCCACATATGAAAACAAAAACTGCAAATATAACGTGGATAAATTTGTTTAATTGTATAACTCAAAACAATCTGATGTTAATAACCCCTATGGGACTAATCACTAGAATAGACCCAAAAATAGGGAAAGGTACTACTACAGACTTAGTGATAGGATCTCCTGAACTAAGTCATTTTGAAATAATAACACTCAAATTCAGGCAGTGACCATTTCCCAATAATAAAAGATAGCAGCCACATAAATAAAACACATGCAATAGAAAAAAATGGAGCTTCATTAAAGAAGTATTGAGGAAATTTTTTACCGTTTTAAAATCAACGGGGAAGGAAGTGTCCGGTCAGCGAAAACATGTGAGATGGGATTTGTCCTTCACCTTAAACCTAAGCTAAACTCAATCTAAATTTTGAATTATATTGTAATCTTTATCGTCCGGGATAGGCTTAGATTTCTTGAGGCCCTAAGTTTAGAAGTCGTTTGCAATATGAAACTAAAGGTCTCATGGAATTTGAAAAGATTTTATCTCTTTTGATCAACAGGATATATTTTCCAATCATTGTGATTTTCAGTATAGCATCCATTACACATGAAACTCTGGAAATTACATTATAGAAAGTCTTTAAAATATTTCTATAGGATACTGAAAACAATTTTTACTGTACAAGACCAACAGCGTAAAGCATTTATTTTCAAATTTTTATTTAAACCTAGATACGCATTCTTTAATAATTGTTTTAATATACATATGCCTTTTAATTCTTGGTGTATGGGATTACAAGTTTCTAGATAATACTAAAACATTTGTTGTAAGGTTATTCGCCGCCGTGATGTTGAATTGTTAGTGAATCCTGGAGCAATCGAAAAATCATACTGTAGTGAACGAGCACAGCACCGTAATGCCCGTTAAGACGCAGACCAACAACTTGCGTATGCAAATGAGCCCGCACTGTCTTGGAAGAACAGAACAAACAATGGAGTAAAGAGGTGAAGAAATCCAAGGGGGGTGAAGGGGAGAAGGTCATATTCCCCTCGTTCTGCCAAAATACACTGTGTACCTTGACTTTATTCTTTTTCTCTTTACAACCATATTCAATCATTCAAATTGTAACCTGGAGCCTCCTAGAAAATATGAACAGTAAATATCGGTTTGGTGATAATTAAGTAAATAATAAATAAAGCTAATACTAATGGCAATGAAATGCTAATTAAGTCATCATAATTAAGGTAATTAGCAATGACAAATAAAGATAACGACTTTAAAGATTATGAAAGTGAAAAATAACAACCTAAAATACGTAAATTATAAAAATCTTCACAAATCCTGAGATGAATATCTTGCTATAAAGAACATGCCACGCATACCACACTACTTTACTTTATACGACAATACGTATGCAATAATAATGTACGATAGTGCATTATGGTAGTGAGGAGGTATCCTATTATTTGAATAAACACCTCTAAAGATAATTGAAATGGAGCTATGTATACTTAAAGTGAAAGTCACAGTGGAAGTATATTTATGCTATGCTGCGTGCAAATTCTTACATGTGTGGAATTCATGTCAGACAAATTGCAAGTACAACAATGATGGTAAGTACAGGAAAACACATAAAAATGCCGAAGGCCTTTTCGCATTTACTGCTTCATCAGGGCATGTCCTTATGTAGCAGTAAATGCGAAAAGGCTTTCAGCAAATTCGTGTTTTTCTGTACTTCCCTTTGTTGTTCTACCTGCAAATTCTTACATATCTGTGTTTTAATTTTCTTATTTTAATAACCATGAAGGCCAATACAGTAAAATTATCTCTGCTTTTCAAAATAATGAGTGAGAAAATGGTACATGGTTAGTTCTTCTATCGAATTAAAATTAGATTTTTTAATAGAAGTATTTGATCTTAGGGTCTGCCCTCTGCTTCAGACTTAGCAAGAGCAATGAACTGAGGGGTGGGGTTGGGGATCAGTAGGTATTTTGTTTTCCTTGTGCTGTTAAGGCGTTATGCAATGGTTTACTCTGGTGAATTTCGACCTATTCAAGCTAGACTTTTGTGTTAGATCTCAAGTGGAGAGAATTATTATTCATGATCAAAGTTATTATTATCAAATCGTAAGTATTGTCATCGTTATCAAAATCACATTAGAATTTTTTTCATTGTTGATATTATTTCTGTGAATATTCATATCTATACCCGTCACTGTCTTTTTTTCAGAAATTTTAATAGAAGCTGTAATATCAGTAGCAACTCGTGCAACAAGCAGTCTAGGAGGTCCACTGCTTTTCATTTAAATGGTACAGGTAGGTTGAATATTTAGCATTATGGCTAAATTAATTTCAGAGTGTTCGGTTTGGAAGTAGCATTTTCTACACATATAATGAATTCAGTTTCATAGTTTAGCATAAATGACTTTGTGCCATAGGTTTTTACTAATTCTAATACAGTTTAGAGACCTCGTTGGTTATGTACTATCCCATGGGAAATGACTAATGCCAAATTGCACGGTGCCAAGATCTTCATTCACTATTAAATATTGTACTGAAAACTATTGACTGCAACATCCACTAGGGAGATGGCTCCAGAACTACAAGCGGTGCTTTTCAAAAAAATATTTCACCGGGAATCACTAAAAGTTACTTATTAGGAGTACATATTGTTTGCATATCATTTTTGAGATCAGTTGAGGTGTCGCCAGTAGTTTTGGTGCCAGTTCCCCAGCAGATTCAAAACTTAAAAGTGCGGCATGTTCTTCCCGACTCTAAACTAATATATGATTGATATCTTGCCTTTTATTTGATCTTCACTACAATTAATCAAGATAAAGAGGAAGGTGGAAGACATGCTGTAAGACTAAGAATTCTCACTCATTCTAGTTTTTCTTTCTTTCCCAGCTAATGGTTGTCAGGCGTGAGTGGTTTGACCTCAGTTGCCATCATGGATGAACTAGGTTGGGATACAGAAGACTGTGACAACAGAATCGAATTCATTTCTGTTATGGAAGAAAATACTGACTATATTACTGAGGAGCAGTGTCAGGGAATAAAAAAAGAAATTTCTCCTGATGTGGTGGAAGAAAATGCTATTTTAATAAAAAATGAAGAAGTAAATATAAGTGAGTTTCTAGTAGTCAAAGAAACTGAAGATGCTATGGTGAATGCAAATAAAACTGACTTATGGGTTTTGATGAATAATTCTGAGGATCCATTAAAAGTAGTTCCATCAGTGATTACGGATTGTAAGGAATCATCAAATGGTGGTCAGACCACGCAGAAGGAAACTGGTCGCAAGGTATTACATAAACAAGTGGACTGGAAAGAAAAACGTTTTGTGTGTGATATATGTAGCCAAAGATTCTCGTATAACAGTCATTTATCAGTACACAAAAGAGTTCATACAAAAGAGAAACCTTATAATTGTGAAGTTTGCACCAAGTCATTCTCTAGAAAAAATGATTTATCTGTGCATAAGATAGCACATACAAACGAGAAGCCTTATAGTTGCGAGTTATGTAGTAAAGACTTTTTGAGGAAATATCATTTAGTAGAGCATATGAGAATACACACAAAAGAGAGGCCTTATAGCTGTGAGGTATGCAGTAATTCTTTCACACGGAAGGGAGCTCTAGCGATACACTTGAGAGTTCATACCAAAGAGAGGCCTTTTAGTTGTGAACTATGTAGTAAGGCATTCTCTCGGAAAAATACTCTGGTGGTACACATGAGAGTACATACAAACGAAAAACCTTACAAATGTGAGGTTTGTAGCAGGCCTTTCTCTGATAGAGGTACTCTAAGGCAACATATGAGAGTTCATACAAAAGAAAAACCTTACAAATGTGAACTTTGTAGTAAATCATTCTCTCGCAGAAGTCGTTTAAGAAAACACACGTGTTCATAATAAAGCCTGGAAGACAAGCTGACAGGGGATACGCTAGATTATTATGGTCCCAGTGGGACAAAATCAACTACGCATCAAAGAAGAAGATGGAAAGAAGATTGATTTTGTCACACTTGAAAAGCACATGCGTTGTCAGTGTGATTAAGTTGATGCCATATCAGTCTCTTTCTCTCTCTCTCTCTCTCTCTCTCTCTCTCATATATATGTGTGTGTGTGTACTATAATGTATTCTTTTCTTTAAGCTCTCTGAACATACTAAAAGTACTGTACTACAATATATCATTATATGTCTATGCAACTATATATTGTTTGCTTAAATTACTTTTAGTTTGTATATATTTGTGTTTCTGCTCTACCTATACAACAGATATAACATGATAGTTTTAAAGGGCAACAAAAATTAAGAGAAATTTGGGAAACCAGAAGACACCTGGCGGCAGGAATAATATGCACACCACTTAACATACAGTGGTAATACATGAACTATATAACACATTTGATAGATATTTCGGGAAACATACCTCGGTTGCCCTGTAATTAAAAATAAATCAACAACTAATATCGGTGTCAGTTAAATATGATTAATATAAACTTTAGTTCTAGAAGCCGTTGGCCGTGACTGTGTAACAGTTATCATTCTGGAAATGAACAACCACACAGAAAATTGTGTTCAGAAAGTTTAACTGCAAAATTACTGTTAAACATTACAACCAAAAATGTAGAAGAGCGAACATGAGTTCTTGGTATTATTATTATTATTAGTGTTGTTGTTGTTATTATACATATGGATATAAAATTGCGCGCGCGCGCGCGCGCGTGTGTGTGTGTGTGTGTGCGTGTGCGCGCGCACGCGCATACAGGATTTTATATCCAGGATTTTTATATGTATTAATATGAATACAGTTTCGTGAATAGGGGAAAAAGATTTAATATGTCATATGTCAAAATGGCTAACAAGCCAAAAGGTTGTTACACCACTGTATAGTATATCCATCCATTCACCTAGTTTACATTACAGAAAGGGCACAGAAAATAGGGATAAAAGAACTAAAAAAAATGAAAAATTATGGCGGAAAACTGAATTTTAAAACTTACTTGAAGAATGTGGAATGCTTGTGATGTTAAAAATACTAAAATAATATTGTTTTATATATGATGAGAAAATGTTGAGTTTTAAACATCACATTTTTAATCCATTTATATGGTGGCCGTGTTTTAATCTAACTGTTTTATTAACCAAATTACACAAAAAAAAAAAACATCTTGCCTTCGTGCTCTCATTTGTATTCTGTAAGACGTAAAAAACACCTTTAGACTCCACTGAAATAACATTAAAAAAAATAAATAAATAAATGAAAATAAGATTGTGAAAAAGGCTATTCTCCTTACAAAAGCGCAAAATAAACTTCTTCATGTACGCCTGGGATATCATTGAAAACTCAGCGCCAGGTCCAAAAGAGGCGGGAGAGAGAGAAATTGAAGCAAGGCAGTCAGGACAAGGGAAAGCCTGCTCTCACACTGGAGTAAGTATTCAACATCACTGTTAAGGAAATGCAAAATCAGTTTCGTAATTGTTTGATAGTAAGCTGACTGGAAAACCATGTTATGTTTACTTTAGCAAGTAGGTAGGTAAGTCAGTGGTGTTTTTATCACTATTTCATATCTGCCCAGATGATATGCTCTTGCATAACAAAAATAAAATTCGCTTTTATATGATATTTGTGTTGCTATCCACATAGCTATAACATGTTTGTTCACAATTTACTTATATAAAAAGTGAGAATATATAGACCAAAATCAATAGGAGTTTAAAGCAGTAGTGCTCAAAGATATGCGTTAAATGCATTAAACAAGTACCGCATTCCTACCACACGGGTGCCATCGAATGTTCAAAAGCAGCTTATTCATCAATTCTTTGTCAACAGGCAAATTCGCATAAACAGAATGCCATTTGCATAATCTAATTATGGCATCTGAGGCAGGAGATTTGTTGCCCTGTATCTAAAGAAGGCAAGTCTGCTTGGTCGAAGGATTTCTGACTGGTAGACCTGCTCATGCAGAGAACTCAAGAAGTAGTCTGTCAGCCTCTAATTGTGGCCATGGTGTGTGCGCCTGGGAGCTGAGCGATTGGTGTTCTGACAGTATCCCTGACTCCCTCCCTTTGGAGAGTTAGATTGCCAGCGTTTTTCTGCCTCTACAAAAATTCCCCGTGTATGTGCCTTCGGTGTTGCTCGCCCTATTACTGGCCAGGTAGTGAGTGGGACTATAAGATCCCAATATCCCAAGTAAGGGTAACTAATTAGGGGTACCTTCATGTTACTAGGGTTTCTATGGTTGGGACCTACGCCTTCTTCGAGTGGGATGTAATGTGATCACCCCCAGATTATACATGACTAGAAAGCTAAGAACCTTCTTGATTCTCCTGTTCTCAGGAGTCAGTGCTGTCATGCTCACTTTTATCCCATCTTTGAGCTCCTTTGTTTCCTGCATGAAAACACCCTGATTTTCAGCTAAAATTATCATGCCCTTGTCTCTGGTAAACTGGACTGCCAACCAGTTTGATGCCTGTGCATCTCCAATTTAGCTCTAACCATCTGACAGACATTGCCGAAGCCTTCGAGTTTAAAGGAAACCTTGAACTATGGTAATCTGTTTAGGGATCCAGAGTCTCCCTCTGAGTCTGTTGTTGTGCAAGTGAGTAGGTTAGAAGAACCAGCCCGAACTCCCATCTTAAACAGTGAAGCCTTCTAGATGTCAGAAGATCCCATGATCTGACTGCAGGCCTTAAGGATAGACACATTCGGAATCAACTTCAAAGTCTTATCCAATTTAGTTGCAGTTTTGTGAGAACCAGCCTGAGTCCTTTCCTTGCCACCTGGAAGCTGATGTGGTTCCAAAGTACGTTGTAATCATATAATTACCATCAACTTTTTGTCATTTGGATTTTTTTATTTGCGATGAGAATTGCACTGCATTTACACTCTTGTGTCCCACAAGCCATAAAGTCCAATAACGGGGAGCAGAGTGTCAAGAACTCATGTATTTAACTGCCAAAAGTAATGAGACGCTATGTGCTGCCACAACAGAGCCAACAAGGCAGTGACAGCTTGACCATAACCTCAAAGAGACAAACCAACTGACCTAACAGGACCGAGATTAGGATACCCACGCTGCTGGAATATTGGACCAAAGATGTGTGTAAGGGTGTAATAATGTTCAACTTCCAGGACTCACAGCTAATGTGGATACATGTCAGTGCATGTCTTAAACGTGAGTACATTCCAATTATTCCCTTGCTGATTACGCATTTGGCATGTGGAAAATTGTGTTTCAGGGCTGTATTGCACATGCATTTATATCCTATGGGACAGCATCATATCTAGAATGCCCCTTCCCCAGAACGAGGCTGGTTGGCAGTTTTCTCTTTATTTATTGTCTTTCCTCTCATAGGGTTAATGGTTAATGGTTAAAAGCAAGATAAATGTGCTAGACATCTAAGGTCATGTAGCACTATAGTTAATGTTAGTGAAAGGTGGTTGAGTTAGTGATTAGTTGTCTAAGCTGGGCAAAGGAATTGCTGAGTCAAAGGGTTAAGTTCGGGTGTTAGATTAGATAAAGGATATGTATGCGTTTGAGGAAAGAGAACAGGTTGTTGATGCAGAAAGTGTGGGATTCTGTAAGGATGTCTGATAGGTTAGGAGGTCGGTGAAGGGAGGATAGGTGGGGGAAAGCAGAGGTACGGGCCGTTTCAAAACATGGGCACGACAATAGGATGTGTACGATTGAAAGGGGAACATTACATAAGGAACATAGGGGTGGATCAGATTGTGACATCAGTAGACTGAAATCACTGTGATCCAACGATGAAGGAAGATACGAATAGTTGTGCAAGGGACATTGGTTTGAAAGGGTGGTGTGACATAAGGTGTTTTCTGATTGATAAGTATGGACGTGACATAAAGGGAATGTGGGGAAGAGACAAAATGATAATTGGGGATTGGTATTGGAGGATGTGTAAGAAAAGTTTCTTGAAGGCATACAATAGATGGGTTATAAGAGGAAAGGATATGACGAAGGTCAGGTCTGTGGGAGCGGAAACCGCGAATATTCCAATGAAGGATAGTTATACTTTCGTTGATTTAGTGTTATAGATTGCAGTACGTGTTGGAGACTTTGAGGGGGAAGCAGCTAGAGGGTGGGATAAGGACTGAGAGGTTTGAGATGGGAGAGATGTGGGAGTTGGTGTTCTATCAGGAGGGGTATTAGGAGATGGAGGGTCTGAGGAAGGGGATACTTGTGACATAAGGGATTCACGTGTGTATCCAGGAGGGAGTGGAAGGGATAGAGGGGATGGTGGGAGGGTTAATGTGGGCGGGGTTGGGGTCGGGGTCGGGGGGTGATGGGCTGTGTTGGGAGGGGGTAGGAGGATAGGGTGTAGGGGGATATCGTTAGGAGGAGGATAGATATCAGCAGTTACTTGGAGTGTGGAAGGAGCAGGGGTTGTAGGTTGAGTGTCAGTTTGCATTAAGTAATCTTGAATATTTTCAATAGTTTCTTCTAAGGAGTTGGTTGGGGAGTTTTGGGGGATAAAGGATTTCTTGTGAGGGGGAGAAGAGAGGACTGGTGTCTCAAGAGTAGGGGCAAAGGATGGTGGAGGTGATTGTGTGGTAGGGGAAGAGGGGGTGGAACGTTTGTTCTGTCTGTTACGGGGAGTGCGAGGAGGGAGAGGGGAAGGTGTTGGGGTTGTAGTGGTGATTGGAGTATCTGTAGTAGAGATTGGAGTTTCTGGATTTAGGATGGCAAAAGAGTTTGACTGGGGAAGGTAGGTGGGGTTAGTGGGGGGGTTAGATGTAGGAGGGGTGGGTTTAGGAGAAGTGTTAGAATGAGCAGTATTACTGGAGTAAGGAGTAAGAGAGAATCCACGTCGACGTGCTTCCTGTCTGGCTTCACGCAGTGTGAGTCCGAGTTTGAATCTGAGAGTTGCTACCTCAGATTCAAATTTGTAGGTGGGACATCCCCTATAAAATACATTATGGGGGCCGCCACAGTTGGCACATGTGCGTGATTGTGCAGAGCAGTTAGATCGGGTATGGCCAGGTTGGGCACATAATGGGCATC